GAAGCTGAAGGAAATAGCTATCATGGATATATTGTCTATGTATGCTGCTGGGCAAACAATACAACAATATGAAAATAAGTGGCAGAAAGTGATAAAGGACTTTTGAAAAGGACTCCAAAGCTGTGATTCATAAATATAAATATTGACATTGATCTAGAATACTATTGGAAGTAGGGAAGATAAAAGAATAAGGTTAATCAATATTGTGTGGGAGAATATCTGTAAAAATGTGTTAAGATTTCCGTTTGATGATAACTCTTTGTAATATTTTATTTTATTGACAATAAAATGTATATAAAAAAAGAAAAAAAAAGAAAGGAGCGCTATTTTAGCAGTCCTTTCCAGGTGCACCGACGGTGCACCGCTGGATCGAGGCATGGGGATGCCTCGGTCCTGCGGCGCACCTTCCCAGGGCGGCCCACGGCCATCCGTCTGCTTAGGGGACTATCTCCTAACAAAGCCTGGACTGTCTGCTCACATGATAGGACCTTCTTGATGGTGGCACCTTGAACGTGGAATACTCTTCCCCTCCCCTACCCACTCTAGTTAATGTGACACCAACATTCCTCAGATTTCAACACCAAAGGAAAACAAACCTTTTTCAACTAACCTTTTGATTAAACCCTTGTGCCTATGGAGAGTGAGATTGCTCATGGGTCATATATATGGAATGTTGGCAGACTACTATACCTCTTGTAATGACATTTAAAGCCCTAAACAATACTAGATGGAGCAACTTTTTCTTGTTTAAATTACTTTTATTCTTTTAAATTATTTTAAACTGCTTAAATCAATTTTATTTTATACTGCGTTAAGATTTTGTGACAGTCAGCATTAGTTTTGTCATAGTGTACTGTATATTCTGACCATATCTGGGAGTATTTTGTGTTGAAATCCAGAAAGCAGGATTTTATATATATATAAATTAATAAATAATTTTTCATCCTACATCTTTGTTTTGTTAGGTTCAGAGCAGGAGGAGAGGGGTGTAAATAAAAAATTGAAAAGAATATTCCAGTTTTTAAAAAGGAATGCATAGCAGATTACTTGGGTGTGGGTAGGAAAGAGTCCTTACCACAAGGTTTTTGCACAAGATTTTTGATGGCATGTTTTCCAATTCCTGCACTCCACTGAGGTCTTTCTATTCATGAGGGGAATACTCACCAGAAATTAGTCATAACTGATAAGAATGGAAGACAAGAGGCAAAGTTAGGGCATAACCTCTGTAATATGTGATTCTATGAGGTAACCAATAAGAAAGGCACAGCCCAGTTGTTTTGAAGTGGATTTTAAATTATATGAATCATGTACCCAAACAAGTGGACATCTGCTAAGGAGCAAATGTGGACTTTTTCCAAAGATTGGCTGAAACATTTTGGCTCATATTCAAGAGTCAGTGAAAAATAATCCTATCTAGTTGATGTGGCACTTTAGCGACAGGGAAGCATCCATGGGTGAGAAACTGAGGCCTTCTGCATGTTGTTGAACTGCAGCTCCTAGTATCCCTAACAATTGGCTCAGCTGGCCAGGGTTGATAGGAGCTGCAATTTTACATCAACTGTATGCCACAGCTGCCAACCTCTAGTAGAGATGCCTCAACAGAACATCGTCAGACATATGATAAATTGTTTGCAAATACTGTGTCCATTCCCACTACATAAATATAGTGCTATATTCCATTTCAACAGCCATGGAAACCTGGGGCTTGTGGTTTGGTAAGGCACCACAACTCTCAGGCTGAGATTTCTAAATATCCTTCCCTAGGGGGGCCTAAATATCCAAAAGGCACCAGATCCTGTCTGATCTTGATAAGCAGGATCAGCCCTGGGTAGTACTTAGATGGGAGACTGCAAACAAATGCCAGGTGCTGTAGGCTACATTTCAGAGGAAGGAACTGGCAAAACTGAGTATTCCTTACCTAAGAAAACCCTGTAGAATTCATGGGGATCCCCATAAATCAAGAGACTCCTTGAAAGCACTTACTCACAAACTGCCAATCCCAGGATTATATAGGATGGAACCATGTCAGTTAAAGTAGAATCCTAGCTCTATAATTGCCTGGTGTGAATGATCCCAGTGTTTCCTCACCATGCAGAAGTGTGTTTTGTGGTATTCATGGTATTTAACAATGTTTGTAGTAGCCATGAATTATGTTCCTTCTGAAATGATCAAAAGACAATGGCCCAGTGTTACTCTGTCATGGATAACCAGAATATGAGTTATTCCTCATAGAAGAAATTATTTGGAGGGAAATAGAATGGAAGAAAAAATTAATCTCTCCTGCAGCAAACATAAAAGTAAGGAACAGAAAGCTGGATAACAAACTCATATGTAGAGAAAGAATACTAATGTTTCTACTTCAAAAACCACTGGAGGAATGTAATTTGTGATACAGGTTACTGAAAGGTAGCTTGTAAACAGTAGCTGCACACTGTCATCTCGTTCAAGGACAGAAAAAAAGGGAGGTAAAACAAGGAACAACGTAGCTTCTGGAATGATGGGAGACATGTTTGGCAGCACTGAAGACTCAATGCTCTGATAAGATGCATTCCCTCTAAATATTTAAATGAGTTAAGCAACTGAGATTCCCTGTTGAGCACTCTTTGCTGTTGTTGCTAAGCAAAATCCAAGCAATTTCCCTCCCATTCATTTTAAAATTCTTCTAAAGTTGTGTAAGGTTACCAGATGGCTTTTCAGAAGCCACTCTGAGCAAGTGCACTAATAATAATAATAATAATAATAATAATA